TATAAAGGGGTATCCCCCCCCGGGGCCGCAGCATAGCAAGAGGTTTTAGGAAACCCTCATGTTATCGTGAATTTTACTTTAAATTAAACAGAGAATTGCAGTTGTAAAACTTAGTAAAGGAAAATAGACTACGGATACACCCTTTATCAACTTTATCGGATGCGGCATGGTTTGCGTTGTAACAGACGGTCGTCGAATAGTAGCTACTGTAGCCTGTGGGCAAGCTCTCCTCATCAATAGCTATTAGTCGCTTTGAAACGATAAACACAGGCAAATTGAGCACGTGCGGTGAAGGTGCTTACGACAAAATTATAGTGTTGAAAAAATATATATATATATATATATCAGAGAAAGACAAATTTGTTTGATAAATGAATGTGAGCCGTGAGAAAAACAAACGAAGTACGGACAAAGCCATTTCTTCTCAAATCTTAATAGAGTCTATATAATTAACCACAATAACTCTGTTTACTTTAACTTTCCTTATTAGGTCTCTTAGTTTGATTTCTTACCTCAGCTCTAAGAGTTTCGCTTATAATCTTGCATCCGGCTATATTCGCTATATTATGAACAGGCTTTTTGGCTGTGGGTCTCGCTTGTCCATGTGGCTCATCGGCCGGTTTGTGTACAAAGTGTGTTAAAATTTTGTACTTTATCTTTCAACGCCAAATAAAGAGGATCTTATAAAGAAACTGTATTTATTGACTACATGATTTGAGTTTTTGTTCGGAATCGTTTGTATGGTGTTATTTTATTCTGATAAGGAAAATTCTAATTCACTTGTTAGCCACAAAACCGCAAAATTTTATCATCAAGGACTCACAAGTAAACTTTTCCCCGTTCCTCGAACCCTATCCTGCGTATTGCATTGACTTCTTATTTCTCGGTAGGTGGTAGTTCTCGCCAAGAATACACCATTTTCCCGCTGTGACCACAGGGGCACCAAATATGGGGTGGGGTGTGGTTTATATCAGTCACTTTATAATGCATCAGTCAATTCCAGCTGCGCCCAGCACCCCCTGCCCCCGGGCTCATCCCCGGAAATTAGCCTTTTTTTTCGCCTTGGATGGCAAATTCCCGGGGTGGGGACTCTTGAGCTGTCAAATCCTCCGGGATGGGGACGAAAAAAGAGGGCAAATGCCCTGTCCTCCGTCAACACTCCAACATTTTTCATTGATCGCACAGTCGAGTCGTGCCATTTTAAGCATTTTAATGTGCGATGTTTTGTTTCAATTAAAGCTAATTAACTATTCTAATTAAGACTTCACGCCGTCAGCTGACGCCGTGACGACACCAGTTTATGGTTTCAGTATGAAAGGATGTTCTTCAAATAATATCAAGGGAAACTTGATTCAATAACCAAAGAGACGTTGATTTACGTCGATAGCTCCCGAGTTTCGCTCGTGTGTAATTCTGGCTTGATAAGCAATGAAGAAATGCATGCATAAAATCGAGAACATGCCTTTACAATCCTCTTCAATTCCCGTCCTTGACAAATGAGCCAATCGTCTTGTTTTTCCAGTAAAATCGTCTGCGTGTCAAAACCTTGGGGTTGGCACATGCCCGTCCCCTGGGCAGCACAAAATTTGCAAATGCCCCACCCCCGGGACTGACAAGGCGGGCCAATGCCCCGCAGTAGCCCGGGGGAGGGGAAGTGGGCGCAGCTGGAATTGACTGATGGATAAGATCTCGCAGTGTGTCTCGTCAATTAAAATTCAATGTGAGTGCATTCCCTTATAAAATATTCTTTTACGGTATAGTAAAACCCCCGGCCGATTCCTCAAACCTCTCGAGACAAAATTGACTTCCTGTCGTCAGTCTGCTCCTAGTGTTTCAGTAACACACTGTAATTTTACCCACGAGTTTTCGAACCTCCCGATGATTCCAACCGATTTCCTTCTCCCAACGAGACGCAAAAAACTTGGATCCCACTGTATGTAATAAAAACTTTACGACCAGGAAGGGAAATTACGTTTAACTTCTTCCTGCAGCTTTTCGGTAGGATGATTTTGCGCATAAAGTGCTAAAAAAAGCGAGAAAAGAGTGGGCGGTAGAGGGCCAGAAAATTTGCGTGTCAGCACAAAAATAGACACAATGAACTGAATGAAAGATTCCTGGTTGGGATTGAGAAGGATATTCACTTACAAATTCAAACAAGAGAAATTATAATGAGCATAATCTTGTCGCATACGCTATTTTCTACCACCTTTTGCGTATAAACATGGCAAATTTGGAGATTATATGATTTATTACCTGCGTTTTATATGCTTCATTGTCTTAGTGTATATATGGGTGCGAGTCTTACTGCCAGTAGAACATACAGACTTATTTAAAGACTGTGGAAATAGATGATCTCATTGAGTTAAAAAAAATACTGAAACAGAATGAACGCCTCTTTTGAAATAGCAAGTATGAATTTTTTTTTTTTATAGTGCTTTCATGAAAATTTGTTTGGTAGAGAAAATGAAATCAAGAGTTTAGAAACAACTAAATTTCGTGTTTTTTCGGAACGTCAGTCAGATTAAAGCAGCAAAAAAGGCAATTTATGAGGGTATCTTTTTTTCATTAGCATTCAACGTGTTTCCGCTTAAACTTTTCACACTTTTCTCATATTTTAGACCTGAATTTAATTAGCAGAGAGTGATATCTAAGAGTGATTTTCGAGTGTTCTGTTCAAAAGATCTTGGCAATTGTCTTATTTCTTAAAATGACGCCCCCTATTAACTGAGACATAAGCATTTGCACTCAATGGATATAGATCTAAAAAAAATAGATAAAGAGATTTTTTAAAAAAGACCTCGCAGAGTTGCACGCAATGGTGATGCAAAAACTATAAAAATCTCTCCCTGATCAAAAATTTGCAGCCTAAAGGGCGCTTATTCTTTAAAATGCATGGTAACTGGATAAAAACTGGTTACGGGTCTCCACGCAGCATTCTTTAACCTCGAGGGAAAGTATGCATGCTTACTGCATGGAATACGAGAAAAGCTCAAGAAGTTTCTTTTTCGATAAAAGGTAAACACACGGGGATGCCCAGTACCTCTTCCCGGCAGTATTTTTGTATCATGGAGTCACCAATTTCACTTTTCTTTAAAAAATAGATTAACACTGTTAGGTTTTTGGCGAGTCGAGATCGTTTGAAATATACTAGAACATATTTTCGAATGCCGTGTTTTTTTTCCTAGGTAACAATGTAGGTTGTAAGAAAATCATGTTATAAAATTTTGTGGAAACTCAAAAAGTAGGTTAAAATTGCCTCACGCTTTTAATTCGTAAGCATTAAGTTAAACTTTTCCCACGCATTGCCTTACCTTGATCCGTTAATGCGTTTTGGAAGTCTTCATCTTGGATGTGCAGTCTCAACCGCTCCCCAAGGTTGCGTATTATAATTTGCGGCTATTAAGAATTTTCTGTTAAAAAGAACTTAAGTACAACAATAAACATTTCCTTTTCTGTTTGAATAAAAGGTGTTCCATGCCCGCGCAATTAGGAAATTAAACATTTGTTTTTTCCCCTTCTTTAGGTCAACATCACTAATACAAAAGCTGTGCGAGTTTTCTTGCTATTCAAGACCGGAATTAAGATCAACAAGAAACAGGAGCTCATCATGGATGCACACAGCGATGTGTTAAAATTGTTTTCTGCAAAATTGTTACATAACCACCTAACTAATGAATCACCTTGACCGATAAAACTGCGGCAGTCCGAGCAAAATCCAGCAATGACGGTGGCGATTGAATACAACAATGGGATCTCTTTTCGGAAGTGAAGTTGAAGAAACTGAAGCTCGACAAAATGGCCGTTTTCGATGTTTTGCATAAAAATGCAAAAGAAAGACAATGCGTCGCAAACAAACTTGGACGAAACTGTTTGGAAATGGATCATTTTGCACCCAACTTTTAGTAATCAGTTCTTATCCGAACAAGTTTTAAAATACCAGTGGACCGTTGCATAAAAAAGGTACATTGCACATAACAGCCAACGTCTGGCGTTTGCAACTGCACCCGGGCGGATTGAAGAATTTCAGGAAAAGAGGGCCGAATCAGTAGCGTAGAGCGCGCAGCCAATCACAAACTACATTGTGAATCATGTCCATTTGGTGGGAGTAAATATGTAAGAAACAGGGTATTATTGGTAGTAGGACATAAATAACACCTGCAGAATTAAATTGGTAAAGAACTTCACGTCTGGGCTTTGAAAAGAAGGAATATAGGAGAGGAAGAATTTTTGGGCGATTTACTACTATTATTATTATTATTCTTTATTACCACGGCATGTATATTATAATCCAATATCATTCTTCAACTTCCATCAGCTACGCCTGCTGGAGTGCAGGTGTTCTTTAAAAACAAATCCTCTTTTAAAGTTGAGGGGAGGGGTGGGTAGGAGAATTAAAAACCGATTGAAATGCTGTTCTATGGCTGTTTTTTAGACCAGCAATAAACTTCGTCAAACTTCCTTTATTTTGTTACCAAATCTGGGGCCTGGGTAACCTGTGATCTCATAATACGAATAATTCCTGCCATCCAAAGGTTACAAAATTCTTTTTTTGTAGAATATTCTTGGCTTTTGTCACTTTTGTCACAATCAACAGTCAGATATGCATTTCTCCTCTAAAACTGCCCTTATCTTAAATAAAATTTACAATGATGGATGCAAATTAGTTGTAGTTCCTATGACTTTATTCCCCTGAATTCTAAATTCTAATTCCTCTGAATTCTAAACTGCTGCTGTAACTTACACTTAACAGTAAAACTAGCTGCTAACTTGTGCATTTATCTCTGCTCTGACTAGTTCATTGTTGCCCAAAATGTTGTTTGAGCTGTGTATCTTTATCACCATGAGCACCCTACTTTGTGTGGAGTACTGGTGTCACAAACTTTTGGTAAGTAGTAGAGATGACTAGTCAATTGGTGCATAAATCAAAAATGGATCATCAAAATACTTCATTCCTTCATTTCTGCACCACCACATTTTTCAGAGAATTCTTTTTTACCAGCTTTTCTTCGTTTGGCATTAACGGCCTCCAGCTTGGACTCAAAACTGTCATGCAATGCTCTCTTCATCAGTGGCCTGTGAGTTTTCACAGCTACCTGCAGGGGAACCAATGGAATCAGTTGATAATAATGTGTCGGCTTAATATCACACCACTTAACTAGCTGCTTGTCATTCTCATCGCTTCCATTCAACTGTGCACTGTCTTCACCACTAATTTCTGCAAGGACAGGGGCTTCCTCTAACTTGCCAATCAAGTTTGTAAGTACTGCAGCTTTAATAGCATGAGCTGACCACTGGGCTTGAAAATCCTTTAACAGAGCATTCAAAACACCAGGTTCATGTTTCCATGACAACTCTTCAAAAGCACAATCATATAGCACCAACGGAATTTCTGATGCCATGTTGTACTGTGGTCGCTGAGGACACTGTTCAATATCAAGCATCCAGTCAATAACTTCAGGATTTTCTAGCTTCTGACCAATCATGAGCAGCACAGCAACCATGCAGCGTACCTGATGCCATAAAAATGCAGATCCACAAATGATCATCTCACACATGTCATAGCCACTGCAGCTTTGTGAATCACTATTACTTCTGTACACTGTGAATGACAGTAAATTTCTTCTGAAAGTCACCACTCCACTTGCAACATCCATTTTACAGAAATTTCTGAAGTCATGTTCCCCAACAAACTTCTGTGCTGCTTGATTCATAACACTTATATCAACATTTGCTGCTGGGAAGTAGTATTTGTATGTCCGCTGTAAACAGCTAAATCGTGCATCAAAGTCTTGACTCACTGGAGTCCAGGCAATAATTCTGATTTCTGGTGGAAGCAGTTTGTTAAGAACATGAGGATAAGGGATTTCTTCAGCTACTTTGGATTTCTCTGTCAATAGAACAAAAATTAATGATCACCATACTTAAATCTAATGATGCAAATAGATGAGAAGCCTGATAGGAGTGACTTTCTGTATGGTCTATGATGTCATTACATGAATAACCTTGTCAACTTTGACACAAATGACAATGTGATCGTCATTTTAATCTCTGAGATCATTGTTTCATTAAAAGTGACTGCTACAACTTTGATTTTATCGGAAATACCCATACATAGTCTAAGACCTAAGACACTTCACCTGGATGGTTGAAATCAAAGCGATCTTTAGTACAAGCGAAGTACAGTAGTCAAAATCCCAACAGTTGATGGATCACTGTGTTCATTCTGAACGTTTCAACTCACAAAGCTAACTCCAAAACTGGAGGGTGGGGTTGGG